GGGGATCGAACTCATGATCGCACGCTTACAAGGCAGGCACTTATGCCACTGAGCTAAATCCCTATAATATATTATACTGCCAATTTTTTTTTTTTTTTTGGTTTTGTTTTTTTGAGACAAGGACTCACTATGTAGACTGGCCTTGAATTCATTACATAGCCCAGACTGGCCTTGAACTCATGGTGCTCCTCCTGCCTCAGCCTCCTGAGTACTGGTGATATAGGTGTGTGTCACCAAGCCTGGTTATAATATTCTTATATAATGTATAATATACTGAAAATGAAATGAAAAAAATTAGACAAACTGGCATGATACATTTGTAAGTCACATATCTGATGAAGGATTTGCATTCAAAGCATATAAAGAGCTCTCTTGAGGGCTATATGAAGCTCAGTTGGCAAATCACGAGTTTAGCATGAATCCCTGTCTTTGGTTCCCAGCACCAAAAAAAAAAAAAGTTAAATTTCTCTAAATAACCTACTTATTCTATTACTAAATATTTACCTAAGAGAGCTGGGGATTTAGTTCAGTGGCATACACACCTGCCTGGTAAGCACCAGGTTGTGAGTTTGACCCAGTACCAAAAAAACAAAACAAACAAACAAACAAAAGGAACACATATTTACCTAAGAAAAATGAAAGAATGTTATATATAAGAGTCCATAGCAGCTTTATCTGTACTCACCAAAAATTATATACAATTGGGCTGAAGGTGTAACTCAGTAGTAGAGTGTGTGCTTAGCATATGTGAGGCCATGGATTCAATCCCTTGCACAAAAAAAGTAAAAACAGGTCGGCACGGTGGTAAACCCCTATAATCCAAGCACTCTGGTAGTTGTTCTTTTTTTTGTTGTTGGTACCTGGGATCGAACTCACAACCTTGTGCTTACGCTGCTGAGCTAAACCCCAAGCCTTAACCCAGCACTCTGTTTTTTTTTTTTTTTTTTTTTGGTACCGGGGAATGAACTCATGACCGCATGCTGGCCAGGCAGGCACTTATGCCACTGAGCTAATCCCCAGCCCTAACCCAGCACTCTGGAAGGCTGAAGCAGGAGGACAGCAAGAGAGCTCAAGCTTCACCTGGGCAAACTATCAAGATCCTGACTCAAAAATTAAAAGCAGGGCCGAAGGTTTAGCTAACCAGTATAAACACTTGCCTGGCAGGCACAAGGTCATGAGTTCAATCCCCGGTACCAAAAAGAATTGTAAAAAGGATTTCTCAAAAGAAACTTAAAAACAAAATAATAACAAGGGTTGAGGATGTAGCTCAGTGTGAAGGCCCTGGGTTCAATCCCAAGTACAATGAATCAGTCAATACTATAAATAATCCAAATGTGCTTCAGCAGGTGAATAAATAATTGACAGTACCTCCTGACAGTGGAATATTACCCAGCAATAAAAATAAACACGAAGACATCTCCACTAGTGAAAGAAACCCGCCTCAAAGGTGGGTGTCAGGGTGCATGCCTACAATTCTAGCACTCTGAGGCTGAGGTAGGATTGAAAGTTTCACTGGGCAACTTAGTGACTTAGTGAGAGAGTGTATCAAAATAAAAAATAATAATAAGGGTGTGGAGATGTAGCTCAGTGTGAAGGACCAAGCTTCAGTTGCTACAACTGAGCTGGGGATATAGGTCAGTGGCAAAAGCATCTGCCTGGCAAGCGCAAAATCATGAATTTGATCCCTTGTACCAGAGAGAGAGAGAGGGAGAGAGAGAGAGAGAGAGAGAGAGAGAGAGAGAGAGAGAGAGAGCGAGCTACAGAAATGGTATATATATTGTTTGAGTCTATGTATACAGAATTCTGGAAAAGACAAATGAATCTGTAGAGAAAGCATATCAGTAAATGGGGGTACAGTACAATGGAAGAGGGGGAAGGGAAGGGTCACATGGGCTGAAGAAAATTTGGGGAAGCATATGCTAATTTTCTTGATTGTGGGAGTGCTCATGGGTGAGCACAGGAATCAAAATTTTTCAAATTGTACACTTGAAATAAATGTACCTTGTCAATTATATTTCAATAGAAAGAAGAATTAAATATCTGGGCCTGGGACATAGCTCAAGGGCACAAGTGCCTGCCTGAGTTCAATTTCCCATACAAAAAAAAAAAAAAAAGAAAGAAATATCTATGCAGATACAAGGGGCTGGGGTGTGGCCTGAGGTAGTAGTCCGGGTTCCACCCCCAGCAATACACACACTGGGTGTGGAGGCCCACTCCTGTAATCCCAGCACTCAGGAGGCTGAGATAGGATTGTTGCAAATTCAAAACCCCCCTGGGCTACGAAGTGAGCTCAAGACCAACCTGAACTGCATAGTGAGACCCTGACTCAAAAAGACAAAAAAAGACAAAAAAAAAAGTGGCACTCTGAGCTGGGTGGCACTCCGGAGGCTGAGGCAGGAGGAGTGCAGTGCAGTGAGTTGGAGGCAGGTGAGGCCAGCCTGGACTACAGAGGGAGTTCAAGGCCAACCTGAGCTACAAAACAAGACCTTGTCTCCAAAAATAAAAGAGTAAAGATCCCACTCATGCCTCACCTCCTTCTCTCAGTCCCCTTCACGTGGCAATCCTTATCTCAGTCAGTGTTTATCTTGTTTTGCATTTGTGGTGCTGGGAATCAAACCTGGGGCCTCAAAAAGCAAGTGCTCAGCCATTGAGTTAAACCCCCAGGCCAACAGCAGGACTTGGGTTCTCAGAGCCATATTGGTCACCTGCTGCTCAGTCATGCGTGCCAGCCAGTATGCCAGGCACCAATGGACCCCTCACCATCTATTCAGTGCCACTGCTGAGGTCATTTAGGTTATTTCCAACTTCCCCTCTCCTGTCGGCACTGTGGTGAGCATCCCTGGGCACACACATCTGTCTTGTCTCTGTGGGTGAAATTCACAGCTGCACATAGGATTGCTGGGTTGCTGTAGAAACACTTGGTAGTGAATTCATATTCCGATTTCCCCCGGTGAACTATATTCCTCCCAGTTCTGCAGCAGTTCTTTGGAGCAGCGCAATGTTCTCTTTCTTCTTTAGAGGACTGCTGAGCAAGGCCTCGGAAGTGTGGAGCATCTTGGAGTATGTGGTCAGGGGATGGGGGTCCAGCTAATTAACTAAGGATGTCTCCCTGCTTTGATTAGTTTTCCTGGTTTCCTGAGGTGGAGCTAGAGGGGTGGGTCATTGTCCTCTCCCCCAAACATCTGAGGAAAAGGGGAACCTTGCATATACCCTGTGAATTAACTGCTGGGGCAGTAGGCTATAATGTCACCCTTTCCTAGGTTAGCACAGTAGTTTAACCCTGCTTCTCAGGGTGACTGTGTATGACTAAGCCTCAGTTTCACGGCTTGGTGGCTTGTCTAGGGCATTTGGAGGCAGATTGCCCACTGTAGGTAAGAAGTTGTGTGACAGCCCTGCAACAGCTCTGGCTCCTGCAAGGCTTGGCAGAAGGCCTCATTCCTCCTCACACTGGGGTTTGAGCAGGGGAACACCCTGTCACTGAACTATATCCCCAGCTCCCTAAAAATTTGAGAGAGGGTCTTACCAAGTTGCCCAGGCAGGACTCAAACTTTTGATCCTTCTGCCTCAGCTTCCAAAGAAACAAGAATTACAGGAGTACACCCCTAAGCCCGACTACCTGGGAGGCTTGGTTTATGCCTCAGTTCCTTTCCTTTCTATCCTGAAAGTTGTGTGCAAACTTCACACAGTGCTGGCACGAAGAGAGGTCGTGATAAATGGTCGTGTTTGTGATTACTATCAAAGTCAGGCAGATTCCAAACAGCGGGGTCGCTCCGCAGGAGACACCTAAATTCATCCAACAGCAGCGTAAGACCGGGCTCAGGCCTCTTTCCCCAGGCCCGAGGGGAGTGCGGGGGGGGGGGGGATTAGGCGGTGAGAAAACCTCCCAGGCGGCCCCAGCTGTGGGGCTGGGTGGGAGAGGCTCGCAGGTGTGGGGCGGGGAGGTAAAGTGACCCTTGCCCAGCGACCGCGCCCACAAGACACGCATTCCCAGGCCTCCCGCCCCGGGTCTGCAGGTGACGCGCAGGAGGAAGCGGGAGCGCTCCAGCCCAGTTTGCCGTTTCCATAGCGACCGCCCGAGCGGCGCCAGGCTGACAGCCCGTCCGGGTTTTATGAATGGGTGACGTCACGGGCCTGGCGTCTAACGGTCTGAGCCGCTTGTTCAGACGCTGACACAGACCGGCCCCGGGAAAGGAGGGGGAGAAGACTCAGTCTCCACAGCTGCCGCGCCGTGGGAGGGAGACCCGCTTCGAAGTCTTCAAGGGGGAAGAAAGTCCAACCAAAAAAGTGAGAAAAATTAAAAGTTACTAGTTGCTGGAGATTTGGCGAATTTTTGCAGGGGGCTGCAATTTGGGGCCTCACTTACGTGCGTTCTAGCTACTTTTCTGATCCCCAGGGCCAGTCCCTAGCTCCAGAGGAACAATCTCCCTAGTCAATTGCTCCCATCTCCAGGGAACTGGCCATGCCTTCCTGGTCCCAGGAACTTTAACAGCGACCCTGGGAATTGGGGAAGTCCAGCCCCTGGGCGCTGAATGTAAAAAGAGGGCCCTGATATTTGGAAACCAGAGTCTGACAGGTTATCTTCCAAGAAGAACTGGAAAGCCTAGGTGCCTTGGGTTCTCTGGGCGACCCACAGGTAGTCACTTGTCCGTCCAGACCTCAGTTTCTCTCATCTGTACAATGGAGTGGGAGAGGTGAGAAAGTGAACACAGGGCCGCTCCCAGGTCTCTGCGTTGTCAGCAATACCGGTTTAGCCTCCTTGCCTCCTCCTCAAGACGCCCTCGTCTCTAGTGGCCGCTATGCCTGGCGCCCTCACACCTTCTGTGCTTAAAACTCGGTCACCTTTCCACCGACGCGAGGGTGCGCTAGTTGAGCGAGGGGGCGGGGCTCGGTGTGGAGGAGCAAAGGGCCACGCCTCCAGGCCGCGTATTGGCTGCTTTTGAACGTTGTGAGCCCGCCCCTGAACGGGAGCGCGGCGTCCCTATAAAAGCCTTGCTCAGACACTAGTTCCTGCGTTCTACAGCGTGTCCTTATCTTTCTGGGTTTTCCTGACGCTCGGCGCCCGCCTCCTCCGTCCACCGCGCGACTCGTTTCACCGTTTGCAACAATCATGAAGGTCGCCAGTGGCAGCGCCGCGGCCGCCGCGGGCCCCAGCTGCGCGCTGAAGGCTGGCAAGACGGCGGGCGGCGCGGGCGAGGTGGTGCGCTGCCTGTCCGAGCAGAGCGTGGCCATCTCGCGCTGCGCCGGGACGCGCCTGCCCGCCTTGTTGGACGAGCAGCAGGTGAACGTGCTGCTCTACGACATGAACGGTTGCTACTCGCGCCTCAAGGAGCTGGTACCCACCCTGCCCCAGAACCGTAAAGTAAGCAAGGTGGAGATCCTGCAGCACGTCATCGACTACATCAGAGACCTACAGTTGGAGCTGAACTCGGAATCCGAAGTCGGAACCCCAGGGGGCCGGGGGCTGCCCGTTCGGGCTCCGCTCAGCACCCTCAACGGCGAGATCAGCGCCCTGGCGGCCGAGGTGAGGTCCTAGTTGGAGTCCGAGATCATACTACCGATGGGGAAACCGGGAAGGTGGCGGGAAGGGGGATTGTATGTCTGCCTCCAACCTGGCTGGCACCTACGTAGCGATGCCCAAGGCGGCCAGCAAATGCGCTCCTTCAGCGAGTCTCCTGGGAGGGGAGTGGGAGCGCCTGCTGCCCTGTGCCCCTGCCCTCGCCAACACTGTCTCATTTCTTATTTTCACAGGCAGCATGTGTCCCGGCTGACGATCGCATCTTGTGTCGCTGAAGGGCCGCCTCGGGTAGTGGACCCTCGCCCTCCAGGAGGCAGGAGGAATAAGAGTCGGTCCCGGCAAGCACCTCGTCAGAGCTGGGGGAAACAAGATAGACCGCCGGTCCTTGGGTGCTTAGCTGGATCCAGCCCACAGTTGGGGAGCTGAGGAGGGGAGGCGATCCTCTTTCCAACACCCCCAGGCAGCAGAGACTTTGGGGGGGTTTCCCCGTGTGTTTCTATTTTTTGAAAAGCAGACTTTTAAAAAATGGTCACGTTTGGTGCTTCTCAGATTTCTGAGGAAATTGCTCTGTATTGTATATTACAATGATCACCGACTGAGAATATTGTTTTACAATAGTTCTGTGGGGGTGGGTTTTTTGTTATTAAACAAATACTTTAGATGGTGGTAAAGTTGCAGTGACTTATTGGATTGAGTGGAGGGGGATGGGAGTTGACCTTTGACCCTTTTCGCAGCTGGTGCTGGGAGGAGGGGGCAGGGAGGGCCACATCTGGACAGTCTGGGTTAATCGACCTGAATGAGTGTTTCCGGTGTCTTTAAAGTCTATTCTTTTTCCACCATCTCTGGCCATTTCCCTGTTCCCCAGTGTCATAAACTTAAATCCTCTAGACCCCTGGGGTTTCTCTAAAAAGTGGTCTCTGGGCCACCTGGATCACCTGGGGAGGCTGTTAAAATGCAGATGAACCTGCTGAGTCTCTGAATTGAGAAAATTTAAGTCTGAAGACCTGGTCACCAGATGATCTTCCTTGCCACCATGGGAGAAGCAAGACCCAGTGAAAGGATACTGCCTGGGTTCCAGCTCTTCTGAAGCATAACTTCCTTGGCCCTATTCCCCAGTAGGAGGTCTCTCTGAGCAGGCTACCTCTTCCTGATGCCAGCAGGCTGCCCTGGGCTCCAGGCCTGTCCAAGTGGGTGATCAAGTTGGCAGGGCCAGGCTGTACACAGCTGCCAGGCCACCTGCTCTGAGTCTGGACTCAGCCCCCTCACCCTAGCCAGCCTCTGCCAAGCGCTGCAACCAGGCTGTCCCCTGGGGCTACTGTGTGGGCTCTGAGGAGCGAACAACCAGTCCAGTCCCCAGCCTTGGAGCTGAAAGAGATGTCACTGGCAAGGCCTTATTTGCCTGGACATGTGGTTTATGCTTACAGGGGAGTGCACAAGTGCCTGGGCTTGTGTGTGTGACCAGAGCAAACAGTCCTCTCCACCAGGGCTGGGTCATTTGCTCCAGTGCAAGCTGGGGAGGTGAGTCAGGCTGGGGTGTGTGTAGAAGGGCACTGTGAGCACATGTGTTCTGCAGATAACTGCAGCCTACAGCTGCTGGGCTTGTGTGTTCCCCCCAGCTGCACCATGGGCATCTCAGTCCCAGCCTCCGCTGACTGGGCTGCATGTATGTAATTACTGGACTTTGCTTGGCATTCCTGGGCCTCTACAGGTCCTCCTTGAGGGTGTGGGCAGCTGTTTGGGCAAACCATTCCTCAAAGTTAAAGTATGCTAACTCCCTGGGCAATTGTTAGGCCCTGGGGACACCAACCCTCCCTCAAGTATCGCTGCCAGATCACTCCCATGTACACGTGGAGAAACCAAGTTCTGGAAAAGGCAAAAACTTGACCTAGAGAGGGTAGGGACTATTTATACATCTTGTCAATAAACAAGCAAGTAGAAAACAAGTAGCACCCAGAGCCCATAGGCTGACTGAGCCACTCCTTAAGAAAAGATTTCATGGATCCCTATGGGGCTAAAAAGGCAAGATTGTGATGCCAGTTCTACAACAGCAAAAACAAACTGAGGAAAAGCAAAAATAAAACTAAAGATGAGGCTGGGGGTTTCGCTCAGCAGCATCAGTGCCTGCTTGGCAAGCACAAGGTTCTGAGTTCGATCCCCGGTACCAAAAAAAGAAAAGGGAAATTAAAGATGATTATTTATTGAGCACCAGTGGTTAAGCGGGTGCCAGACTCTGCTCTACCATTTTATGGACTGTATCAAAGGGCAGGGTGTCTTAGGTAAATTAAGTTTTTCGCCATCCCCTCCCCACCTGGCTGCTGTTTTGCAGTAACTAACCTCACACCAGTGTCCAGAATAAATGAAATTGAGTAAGGCGTTCAGCACAGGGCCTGGCACGTACCGCTTGATAGTTATAAATTATTAATTGTGGCTGCGTGTCCTTGGCGTGTCCTCGAGGCACACGTGTGCACCCACTCCCTCCCACGTGCGCCCCCCAGCCCACCCACGGGGCCGTGGGCGTGTCCCCAAGCTCCCGCACGGCAGGGGCCTCCTTCCCGCCGAGGAAGGGGCTGCAGCCGGCCCCACCAGCGCCCCCGCCATTCGGGCGCTCTCTGGATTCCACGTTTCCTCCTCTTCCCCTTTGGCCCGGGCCCAGCCCATCTGGAGGCCGGCTCGGCGGCGACCTGGGAGCGTTTCCATCAGCTGGGCGCGAGGAATGCGGAGCTATTTAACCTGAGCATCCCCAGGTGTACGGAGGCGCCTGGCTGTCTGGGGCCCGCCGTCTTTGGCACGGCCGCACTAGACAAACAGCGCCGCCCCCGCCCTGCCCCTCCGCCCGCAGCTGCAGCCCGGCCTGGGAACGCGCGGGCGCCGGCGGCTTGCATAAGAGGCTCGGGCCTGGCGCGCGAGGGAGGGGGCGAGACGGCCTCCGCGAGCGCGCACGGAGCCCCGCTCCTTGGAAATCATTAACGCCTGCCCCGCGCCTACGGAGGCCGCTGCCAGGAGCCGGGGTGGGAGCGGGAGGAGCCGCTGGACCTGGACCCTGGGCCGCCCGAGACCCGAAGTTCTATTTCGTTTAAAGAACACTTACAGAGCGCTTATTATCTGCTAGGCGCTGCACTAAGCACTTTAAATGTCAACGCAGTGAATCCTTTTGCGACCAATGCCATCTGAGGCTCAATTTAATAACGAGTGTAATAATAACATGGAGTAACGTTTTAGTAGACAGAATGCAGCCTCTGCATCAGCCTTAATGTTCAGCACTTCGCCTCAGTCTTCATTTCCTCATCTGGAAAATGGGCTTCAGAACCTGAGCTTTTGGGATCAATTGACTGGATGCAGGTTAACAACCATTGCTTTAGGAGGCTGATACAGGAGGTTCACAAGTTCAAGTCCAGCCTTGGCAACTTAATGAGACTCTTCCTCCTGCCTTGCCCCAAGAAAGGAACTGGGAATGCGGCTCAGTGCAAAGATCCTTGCTTGGTTTATTCCCCAGCAAGGGAGAGGAATGTCTTAGTGTCTCAAACTGGGTGCCTGTCGTCTCAATTACTCTCGAGGCTGAGGCAGGAAGAGCTCTTGAGCCCAGGAGTTTGGACTGGCCTGAGTGACATACCAAGACCCAATCTCAGCACAAAACAAAAGGTTAGCACCCCAGCTGGCTCCCAAGGAGACTACATTAAAGGGGCTATGTCAGCAGCCACACCAGGTATGGAACTTTGATACAGTTTCGGAAGGGAACAAGGAGACATCAGAGAGGGGAAGTGACCCACCCAGGGCCACTGGGACTTGGGGGCTTTTTTTTTTTTTTTTTTTTTCTTTTTACTATTTTCTTTTTGGTACCAGGAACCCAACTCAGGGCCTCACACTTGCCAGGCAGGTGCTGCACTGCTGAGCTATATCCCCAGCCCACCACTGGGATTTGGACTTCTAGAATTTTTCCAGAAATCAGCCTGGTTGGAACCAGGTTTAGGAGATGACTCATTCCCACTGATAACCAATTCATCTTACAGCTGAAGTCAAACCTGACCAGTGTACATTTTTCTTCTTAAAAAGCATAAACTCAGGATATACACGTATCATGATTTTTTTTTTTTTTTTGGTGGTACCGGGGATCAAACGCACTACCTCACATCTGCCAGGCAGGCACTTATGCCACTGAGCTAAATCCCCAGCAATATCATGATTTTTATAACCCATATCTTGTTTCTTGATTTTTTTTTTTTTTGGTCTTTTTCGTTTTTTATCAGTACCGGGATCAAACTCACGACCACCTGCTTGCAAGGCAGGCGCTTATGCCGCTGAGCTAAATCCCCAGCCCCCGGGGTTTCTTGATTCTAAACAAATATTAACTGGACCCTGGAATGAGGACAATGGCCCAGGTTCTATGGACTTCCAAGAGGCTCCGGGCCAGCTCCTGTGTGACCTGGTTCTGAGAAGAAAGGTCACTCAGCTGGGCACAGGTGTTAAACCACTGGACCAGCCACACTGCAAAGATCCCAGCCTGTGCTAGATAGAGGCTGAGGGCCCCCAAGCCCTGATTTCTGCCTGCACTGTATCCCCCACCCCTAGGGTTCACACAATCCACAGCCTCACACCTGCCAGTGTGAGTCATCCAATCAGAGAGGGCATGTTGGGGTGCTGTGGGACCCCCACCTTTTGCCTCTGCAGCCTAAGGCCCAATTTTAGAGCTCTTCAACAGGATCACTCTTAATCAGCGCCAGGAATTTCAAACCAGAGAGGACTCCCAATGCCCAAATCATACAGCCCAGCTCACGGGACCCGCAGTCTGCAAGCCCCGCTGGCTCCAGAAGAAAAGGAGGTGTGAGTCACAGGGCCAGGCCCAGGCTGGGCGAGGCTGGGGCCAGGGGGCAGGCGCCACTTTCCGGGAAAGGGAAGGGAAGAGGAAACAGAGGCGGGACGGGCTGCAGGGAGGGGGCAGAGTGCCCTTATCTCTGCAGCTGGCTGTGCTTCCTGCCTTCCCCAACTCTTGCAAAACCTCCTTCCCAGCACTGCCCCCAAGAGGGTGCCCCAGGCTTGTACAGGGTTGCATCAGGCCTTGTGCAAGGCGCAGTTACAGCGGTGAGGATGGTGGCAGTGGGCCAAGGGAGAGCGAGGGAAGCAGAGTCCCTTCTGATCTGGCCTTCCTTACTTCTCCTCCCTGGCCCTCAGCAACCTCATGTTTGTTCCTTTGGTGAGGCAGGGGCTGGATATGTAGTTCAGGCTGGCTTTGAATTTGTAGCAGTCCTCCTGCCTCAGCCTCTGAGGTGCTGGGATTATAGGTATGTGCCCCTAACCCTGGTTACATCCTCAGTTTTCAAAGGAATGCTATGCCCACTCTTCTGAGGTTTCCAAGATATCCCAAACCCATGCATTGAACACCAAGCAATTGTCAGCTTCTGCCTGGAGAACTGTATCAGCTGGTTCCTCAGACCAACAGAAAGTGCCTAGACTGTGCCAGGAATGGGCTGCAAGGGCTTATAATTCGGAACCTACATGCTTGTTGAGAGACAGCAAATGAATATGCATGCATGTGATCAGAGGCCTATTTTTTGTCTTGTTTATTTGTGGTTCTGGGGATCGAACTCATGACCTCGAACTTGCCAGGCAGTCACTTATGCCACTGAGCTAAATCTTTGGCCCCTGTTTGTTTTTTGAGACAAGGTCTCGCTGTGTA